TGCGTCCGATGGCGCGATGTTGATGCTGACTTCGTTTTGAAGATAAAGCGCGTGGAAAACTACCCTGGTTTTGAAAAATTAGCGCACGTAATTCAACATGGTCTACAGGGGTTTATGGCTAAAAATATCGAAGGTGAGTCAACGGAGGCAAACGATCTTAGTCATATTTTGTAGAAGCGGGTCTGTTGCGTCAATAATTTCCAATGTTACTAACGTTTTAGCAAAACTTAACCCTTCAAGAGGCATTTGAAACCGTCGCACAGATAAACGAAGAGCTAAAAAGCAAGGAATTCGGTGGTGCATTTTGCAAAAAATTCAAACTTCTTATCGATAAATTTTCTTCATTTTCTCGCTAAACGTAGAAAATCAGTAAAGAAAATGCTTTATCAAAAGAAAAATAGGGGGCACCGAACGTCCAAGATCGTTAAATCCAGGCAAAGCTATAGGAATGGCCATCTGCCCTATCATTGTTCATTTTAAGACATAGCGCGAGCTCTCATGGATGACTTGGCGTGTGAATTTGCGCGCGCAGTGAGGATGCGCAGAAAAAATTAGCGCGAACGCATGAACGCATTCAACCGCATGGTACTGGCCATGCGGTTGAATGTTTAAATGTTTAGGCTGGCCTTGTCCAGCCACATTTATTTTTTTGCTTTTCGAGACACCAATCGTGACACTTTGTTTCCGTGCGCCCCGAAACACGTGCTGTGGCAACGCGTGTTTCGGGGCGCAAGTGAGTTCAAAGTACGGAACTTGATATAGTGAACGGGTCATTTTGCAATTTATGTGCGTTGGCTGTCAGGCTGGCGTTACATATCTTCGCTACACAGTGCTGACGAGCCCCAAGAAGGGCGAGACAGCTGTCCACTGTTGCGATCCTACTTTATCGGTTCTGGTCATGTTGGTGTCTCGAAACGTTTCTCACGTATGGCTATGTGCGCTCATTCTTGACCTTGTGACAAGAATAATTGTTCGTTTTTCACGTAGTATCAGCCTTGCAGTCCATTGTTTGTCTTCGTAAAAGAAGGCTTATATTTTCTACGGTTAGTTTAAGTAATGAATGTGGTATTTGTCAGTGAAATGAAATGATGTCATTCCACTGCACGTGATGAAAGTGCATGTCACTAAGTAGGACACTTCGTCAACCTGTACGAGTCGCACAAGTCGCGCAACTGGTGAAACTCCATCTCATTACAAGTCTTACAAGTCGTACAAGTCGTATAAGTCGCGCAGCTGGTGAAACTCCATCTCATTAAGGAAGGGACTTTGTCAACTCGTAGTATCTGTGCGAGTGGTACAACTCGTCTAACTGGTGAAACTCCATCTCATTAAGCAAGGGACTTTGTCAACTCGTAGTATCCGTGCGAGTGGTACAAGTCGTGCAACTGGTGAAACTCCAT